AATATATACTTTTCAAATATTAATCTTCTCTCAAACGGAGTTTTTGGAGTCTTCTCCCCCAGCTCTTCTGCCACTGAAGCATCTCCTTGCAGTTCATTTTTTTTCAGGAGTCCGCTCTTTTATCTCTTCATCTGCCACTGAAGCATCTCCTTGCATATCATGTTTTTCAAGAGTGTTTTCTTCTCGATCTTCTTCTCCCTTCCCATGTTCATTTAAAATATTTGACAAAATAGATTGAATTCCTTCAAAATTAGAATGAATAAATAAATATTGAGACCCAAATGAATATTTTATTCAATAAAATGAACATATTTAAGAAAGAAATGAACATGTTACTTGTACCTTGTGCTTCTTGATGTCCCACAGTTGTAAGTTCTTTCTGAATTTCTTCATGTTGTTGCACCACAACATCATCCTCATCCACTTCCTTATTGCTGTCTTCTTCTCCCTTTCCATGTTCATTTAAAATATCTGACAAAATAGATTGAATTCCTTCAAAATCAGAATGAATAAATAAATATTCAGACCCAAATGAATATGTTATTCAATAAAATGAACATATTTAAGAGAAAATGAACATGTTACCTGTACCTTGTGCTTCTTGTTGTCCATCAGTTGCAAGTTCTTTCTGAATTCCTTCCCGTTCTTGCACCACAACATCATCCTCATCCACTTTCTTATTACTGTCTTCTCCATCCCCATATTCATTGAAAATATCTGACAAAATATATTGAATTCCTTCACATTGAATTCCTTCACCGTCAGAATGAACAAATAAATATTCAGACCCAAATGAATATATGTTATTCAATAAAATGAACATATCTTAGAACAAAATGAACATGTTACATGTACCTTTTGCTTCTTGCTGTCCCACCGTTGTCATTTGAGTCTCAACTCCTTCATTTCTTTGCACATCATCATCCTCTTTCTCTTCAGTTGCCATTTGAGATTCAATTCCTTCATTTCTTTGCACATCATCATCCTCTTTCTCTTCCTCATTTTCTAAGATAATCAACATGTTTAAGATAATGAATATATAATGCAATAAGATGATCATGTTTGAGAATGAAATGAACATGTTACCTCCATTCTGTTCTTGTTCATGTTCATGTTCCTCTCGATCATTTGCCACTTCATTCTCAATTTCATCTTGTTCTTGCACTAAAACATTATCCCCAACCTCTACATGAATTGACTCCTCATCCTCATTTTCTAGATAATGAAATGAACATGTTAAATATGGAGATGAACATCCTTAAGAACATGTTTAAGATAATGAATATGTCATTCAATCAGATGAACATGTTTAAGAATGAAATGAACATGTTTAAGAATGAAATGAACATGTTAAATATGGAGATGAACATGCTTAAGAACATGCTTAAGATAATGAATATGTCATTCAATCAGATGAACATGTTTAAGAATGAAATGAACATGTTTAAGAATGAAATGAACATTTTAAATATGGAGATGAACATGCTTAAGAACATGCTTAAGATAATGAATATGTCATTCAATCAGATGAACATGTTTAAGAATGAAATGAACATGTTTAAGAATGAAATGAACATGTTAAATATGGAGATGAACATGCTTAAGAACATCCTTAAGATAATGAATATGTCATTCAAACAGATGAACATGTTTAAGAATGAAATGAACATGTTAAATATGGAGATGAACATGCTTAAGAACATGCTTAAGATAATGAATATGTCATTCAATCAGATGAACATGT